TATCACAAACTAGTCAAAACAGTTACTAAATTTTATCATCGGTACAAGGACATCATTCGTAAATATAAACCAACATGCAGACATCTTATACGTTCAGGTTTTTCATATCCAATCTTTTATGGTAATATTCTTTACAATACGATAATGTTGTCAGGTCATTAAAGATGGCATATTTTAGTATTAATATTGATTCACTTCTTTGCATCGGAAAAAACACATTTGTTCTAAAACCAGTTGTTGGCATGATACGGGTTATGTTCTTCTCATATATTTTATGATGGTATGATACTAAACCCCTAACGGGAGGGATTGTGCTTGGATTTAATATGATGAAGACATAAACTTTCAATCAGTTTAATTGAAGTCTGGAGTTGGTATGTCAGTAACTGTTAGTAGTCCTTTGTTAATTTATGTATCATTGTCATTTTGCTTAGTTTTGTTACCTATTCTGACATCGGACTCGGACTACTTTAAAACAGAGTTTTACTGTGCGTATTGCTGTGTGTTTGTTTATTTTACATTCAATTTGGCTAGAGGTAAAGGGGAGGGTTGAGATCTCACAAAACATGTTTAACCCCGCCGCATTTTTTCATCTGTTCCAAGTCAGGAGCCTCTGGCCTTTGTTAGCCTTGTATGTTTTTCAATTTTAGTTCATTTATATGTTTTGGAGTTTAGAATGACGTCCATTTTCACTGAACTAGTACACATTTTTATTTAGAGGCCAGCTGAAGCCCGCCTCCGGGTACGGGATTTTCTCGCTGTGTTGAAGACCCATTGGTGGCCTTCGGCTGTTTTCTGTTCTTTGGTCGGGTTGTTGTCTCTTTGACATATTCCCGATTTCAATTCTCAATTTTATTGTGTAGTGAATTATTAAAATAATCAATTATGAAAACTTAAATATCACCCATATAAGAAGAATCTGATATATTACATGTATACTATTTGGTCTCTGGTGGAGTTGTCTCATTGGCAATCATACCACATCTTCTTATTTTTATAGTATCAAAACATAGACAATCCATAAACCGATTTTCAACTCGGTCAAAAGATACAATTTTTATAAAAATGTAGTACATTTAGTGCAAAAAATCTATCATAATAAATTGCATTCATAAAAATATGTAATGAACGTAACAGTTACAGTAAACTAAAATTCCCCTAGGTTTTACTGCTGCATAAATCACATCTATAAATAAAATTAATGAAGGTAAAACTTGCAATGAAATGTTGGAAGAAAAAAAAAAACAAACAAACAATAAGGTCTTTCCTAACGTAGTGGAAAGACCTTAAATATCAAGAAAACTTGAAATGAAGAGAACATAATCCTCACTACATCTGATACTGTAGAAGGGTAGGTTACTCTTGGTCGAATATCACACCTTCATCACTGCTTACCGAACGAATCACGCGCATGCTCAGTAATTCAGGTAAGGAGAACGGCAGCAAAACCAAAAAAAAAAAAAAAAATAAAGAAAAAGAAAAAAACCAAAAGCGCTGGTAGTAATTTTTCCAGTTTAAAAGTAACGAACTATCGTTAAATTGGGATAATTATTTAAAATGTAAATATTTTTTTCTTATGTTCAGTGTATGTTTAATTTTGAAGGATGTGAGTTAAATATGAATAATGTCCGTGTCAATGATAAGGGTTATTGTTAAAGACTAACGGTAATGTTGTGATGACAGCTTAGAACATATCAAATATAATTATACAATTTCTAAGGTATTTATACTATTTCTAAACTTTTGGTTTTAAAGTGGTCCTGATGAAAATGAACAACATTCCAGAAAACCGCTTAAACGAATCAAAAGTGTTATATTTTCCCTTTTAAATTTACTACACATATGGTCAAAAAACTTTGTTTTGAAACCGATATGCGTCCGTTATATGTGAAATATTTAAAAATTAGACAATTACTATCACAATATTGTATGATCAGACAGAACCTTATATATTTGAGGAAATTTTTGTCATTTTTTTCTAATGAGCGAAGCACAACAGCTTTGCCATTCAATGGTAGAGATTGTTAGACTTCACTATGTGTATATCTATTTGATATACAACGATTATATAGGAATCATTAAGATACTAAATATATTTTTAAGACAAATAAGAAATCATCTGCAAATATGTAAAACATATCATCACGAGGTGTGTAGCATCTTCCCATGTCATTAAACGTTTCTTTCCCATTTTCAGTCAAACCTGCTATAGTTATACATTGTGCTTCCCTACAGACAGCAGTTCCATGCAATTCATTACATCATTACAATACCAACGAAAAATTCGAAACCATTCATTGAAGAAAGTCCTAAACTAATTTCGATAATCGTCTTATTTGTTTTAGATGTAAACATTTCATAAAATGCAAGTTGTGTTATTCTGGCACCTAAATTGCAAAATATACATCTATTAGGTAATAATTTTTCTTCTAAACTTAAGTTTAACTTTGACCTAAGAATACATTTGGCCAACCTGCTATCAAGTTGTGAAATTAAAACTATGGTGTTGCAAGTGTAATGCCGTTGGAGGATATTCAGAGCAATTTAAAACTATGAAAAACTTATCCGTAAAATTCACAAAGCTACCAACATTTCAGCGAAATTATACTTAAACTTTAAGAACCTTCAGTTTTTAATAAATCAATGATGATGTTAAATTGAAACTACATAATCAATGAAATATACCGAGTACACCAAATCTGCTGAATACTCAATGGTTAATGAATCCACGGAATGCCGAGAACCATGCAAGTTATTTATTAATAATTTAGACTATTTAAATTATGATAGCTCAGTAGTTGCACATTAATAGTTCGATGTATAGAAGATTTACATGCTGAAAATGTAAATGAGTTTTAGGTAGGTGATTATTATGAGTAAGTTATAAGGCCTAGTGAAGTGAAAATTGGGATTAATTTGACAATGGTTTCGTGTATATTACAAGGTAAATTAGTTTCAAGGACTAACGAACTAACTTTACGTATACGCCATTGAAATGCAATATTTAGTTGTGTGTATGAATTATTAATAACCCATATTCCTACAATTTTTAATACAATATTAATTTGGCTGAAAAACTCAATAAGGATTCATGTTTAGAACGACTGTAGGGATTTGGAAATGCTTTAATTTGATTTTTTAATAATATAGGACATAAGTGCATGATGCACAAATTCTTGTTTTCAAAACTTGTACTGCCACAACTCATTTAAAAATATGACATAGAAAGATCAAGCGTATATATATATGTTGTTTGGGATCTTCACATGGGATATGTGTTCATTTCCTGTCAGTGTTGTATATCTCTTCAGTCGTTAGACGAAGGGGACATAGGGCACTGACCACTATTAAGACCTTACATCCCTTGTGAAGCCCGAATGGTAATGATATTATACTGAAGTGTAATGATTTCAACATGAGCGTCTTAGATTTCATTGTAGGTAATATTTTCAATAGTGAAAACAAATTTCCACAGGGATTTTTTTTTAACATTTTATTTAGGAATTATTCCAAACAGAGACGTCATAAAAAGTACAGGGCTGATATGCCTAAAACTACTTAAGTTAAGATTTGTTCCGAACGGGCGGATTTTTCTACATGTCCTACGATAGATTAGTACTACGATTGGATATCTTAACAATTGAAGACCCATTGGTGGCCTTCGGCTGTTGTCTGCTCTATGGTCGGGTTGTTGTCTCTTTGACACATTCCCCATTTCCATTCTCAATTTTATTAAGTGGTTTTATGCATATCAGCCCAGGAAGCCATTATCTTTCCCGGAGTATATGTGTACATAGTTTCAATATAGAATTTTTTATTAATTTTGATTTTAAACAATAAATTAGTAAATTGGTGAAAATCATCAAAAACATTAGAACATTATTGAACAAAAACAGTTTAAATATAAAATATAATTTTTTAAGCCAAAAGGAAAGATTTGAATGACAATTCCTGAACTTGCAGGCGGTATAAATTTTATTACAATAAAAACATCACATTCTATAAAATTCCATGAAGGTGGAATCACGATTCCACAATTGACCCTATAATTTAATAGAAATAAGAAGATGGTATGAGTGCCAATGAGACAACTTTCCATCCAAGTCACAATGTGTAAAAAATAAACAATTATATGTCAAAGTACGGCCTTCAACACGGAGCCTTGGCTCACACCGAACAGCAAGCTATAAAGGGTCCCGAAATGACTAGTGTAAAACAATTCAAATAGGAAAACCAACGGTCTAATCTATATAAAAAACGAGAAACACTTATGAACCACATCAACAGACGACAACCACTTCAAACAGGCTCCTTAAGTATACTTTGAGATTGCTTTCAGTGACTGAGATATAATTTTGTTTTTTTGTTTTTTTTTGTTTCAGTTCTACACCTGATACAATTCAATGTTTTTTCTGAGCTGAATCAAATTGTACGTTCTTCAATATACATTTTGTTATTGTAGTGGTCTAGATTAAAACGGGAGGCGGGGATGTTTAGATTCCAAAACCTAGTTTAACCCTGACACGTTTATGTAGTTATTTGACAAGTAATATTAAGACGTCTTTTGTGTGTGTGTGTGTCTTTGTATAGTTGTTTCATCAACGTTGTTCTTGTATAAGTATGCATTGTATTTCTTATTTCTTTATTGTTGTTGTTGTTTACGTCTGTAAATTGTATTATTGACTGTTATCCATCATCGACCTCCTGTATATACTTCCATTTTATATCGTAATATAAACTTCTATACAAACAAGCATAGAAATAGCATTTCAATCAATTAAATCTTTTAAAACCTTTACGTTTGTATAATTTACCCGTGATGTATTGCGATCTTAAATTCCACATTTATTTCCTAATCAAACGGAACCGTACTAGATATTAAAGGTTGATTCTTTTAATTTACCAATTTTGATTCATCCATCCGTATCGTGGCAAGAGGTTTTATTATAAAATAGTTAAAATGTCAATTTTTGAACAGTTTTTATCATCAAAGCTATCATAGGATATTGTAAACTTACACATCACAGTTTGGTGTTAGTATCCATTATAAATCAGATTTAAATGAACAAATTTTAATCCAATCAGATAGAAGAGATTTTACGCTACTGAACATAGGGGTGGATCTCTACAAAAGACCTACAAAATACCATTAACTTCATTCATACATTTATTTTTAACACGGATAACACGTGGAGTTTGATGTCAATAAACGAGAAAGAAATAAGATTTAAGAATCTGATCACCTGAAATTAACAAGAATTAGGCGAACGATAGAACTTTGCTATAATAACCAGGAAAATCTATTCTTTAGCTACATACGATAATATTGGAATTTCTTCTGGATTAATTAACTCGTTCCACAGGAGAGAAGGAATGCTGCATCAACACTCAGGTGACACGCAATTTAATCTGATAAAATGTGAAAATAATTTTTACGATAATATCTAACCGATCTTAAACATTAAATGAAGTGTTTGTTCAACATTTATTTGCGTGTATGACAATGGAAAACGCCAATCTTGCCGATCCGTATACTTGTACAGTCCGAATTATGGCACCAAAGGGGAAATCTAAAGTTTTATGCAAGATTATTTCGCCTCTGACTAAATGGATAGATCCATCTTTTCAAATACTCCAGGTCTCTGAAGGGAGTCATATAAACACTGAAAAATTGACATGCAATGATGAAAATAGTGACGATGAAATACTACAAACTCCAGCACTCAGCATTATGATGTTTTTGTCCGAAAGTGGAGCCGTCACTTACGAAGAGCTCAAGGCAGTTTTAAAGAAACGGCCTTGGAAACTTCATCATAAAATGGAATTAAAAAGCAAAATCTCCCCCGATCGAACTATTGGTTGTCAGGAGTTTTATGGGTTAGCAGACGACATGCCCCTGTGGTCAGTTTGTCCAATTCATTGTGGCAACGAACACCTCAGATTCTTACTTCATGTTAGGAAATTTAAAGAAATGGTGGAATTTTATCGCATAATCACAAATGCTGAAATGGAAAGTTCAAAACCGGGATTTTGTATCTTTCAAATGTATACACAGCCAGGATTAGATTGTCAACTGGCTTTAAAATACTCAAAACACATCGACCCAGTACCTATAGAAAATGTGATTCTAGTCTTTAAAGTACGTTGTTTGAAAAGCATCAAAGCCTCTGTACCGTGTGTTATCACACAACTTGATGACATAACATACAATGTGTGTGATCCAGACGGAAACAAAATACAACTAAAAACGGACCCAGTTACACAGAAACCGACATCGCCTGGATTAAGTACAATGTCTGCAGTGAAAAATATATTAGAGGATTATAAAACTTATCGGAGTTCATCGGACAGTTACGATTCCGGGAGGTTTTCAGACAGTGACTTGTGGTTTAGTGAAGCAGAGCAACAAGTTTCAGAAAATAACAAAAAATTACATTATAACATTAATAATGTAAGTTTGTCAGGGAATAAATCTTCTCATAGAATTGAAAGAAGTGAAGTGCGTAGTCAAACAAATGATGCTTGCCGAATCATTTATCAGAATCAAAAGAGTGACGGGGAAGATATGAAAACACATTGTAAATATCATTCGTGTTTTAAAGAATCTGTGTACCTTTAACGGGTAAATCATCAGGATTATTTTGTGAATTAACTAATATTGTGTGCAATGTCAGTACATTAACATCTCTTTTTGAAGTAAATTATAAACCAGAAAATGAATTTTTAGTTTGCTCATACCTTTACAATCCTATTTTGTATTCACACTGAGCGTGAATGGTGTTAGGTACGGTATTTTTGTTCTTTCATCCGATTTTTATCTGGGATCCAGGTGTTATAAGGTGTATTGCAGTTTAGTTTTTTTACTCATAGATTAACCTCTTTATTTCTAAAGAATAAAAGGATAAAATTGAATGAATAAGATACAAAATAAGCACACCTGCTGATTAGTAAGTAATTATTAAAACATTTGAAGTAAATATGAATCACAGGTATCTAATAAATTCAGTATAAAAGCAGTATATTTTAAAACCTATCTTTAAAAATGTCAGAACACTATGTTGGTTTATATTCAAGTCGATTTATAATTTATGATGAGCTAAGCTAAACGCAATCTGCCTCGAACAGTCCAAACGTAGTAAAATCCATTGAACAGTTATGAATAACATATATATTGATATAGAATCTCAGTTGATAAATTCTTCAGGTAATTGAGGTTGCCGATCCCCTCCCCCTTTTTTCCTCTGTCAAAGCTAAAGTAAAACGACAGGAAGAATCCCCTTTTATAGTTTTGACCCTTTCGATTGTTTATACGTTTGGAATTGTTGGCACGAAGCTTAACACACACTGAACTTTTCTGATAAACGTAAACAAAGAAACTAAAGCAGTTCGGTCAAATTACCAGTTTTAAACATTTATATTCTTGCTTTTATGTGACTTAAAAAGTCTTATAAATGTTATTACATGTATGTTTACTGTGCTAATTTTTGCTTTCATTTTTATATTTGTGAAGTGTTATGTTATTTCTCACTTAAGTCAGTTATTCAAGTATAAAATGTTAAATGCTGATAATGATATGAAATGGTCACTCTTCTAATTAATTAAAATTGGTAAAACGAATTTCGCATATACCAAAAGCTCTTAAAACATCTATATGATAAGACTTTCTAATGTTCTATATGATAAGACTTTCTAATGTTCTATATAATAAGACTTTCTAATGTTTGAATTATCTAAAATATGATTCATTTTACATTGTATCCTTTGAAAACAGAATAAACATAGAACATACGAAGCTGCTTGAGAAATCCGGACACACAAAAAAAAACACAATAAGAATGAGAGCATTTTAAAACTTTGAAAAAGATAGTATTAAAGCTATAAGTTCATTTTATACGGCCGATTGTGGTAAAAAAACTTTCAAAGCTTCGTATGATTTTAAAGGTAATGTTAATTCAGTTTATATATATCTAAGTATAAGAATAAGAATTGGGAAATATTTAGAACATCTTTTTAGAAGATTATCCTGTTCCCATCACATCTTACTAACAGTTTGTATTTATTGTTTTGGTTAAAGATGTTTATAAATTTAGGAGTGCAAATATACGGTTAAAACTAACAAGTCCCCGTCCCTTGTTTCATATCGCAATTTTCAAAAGAAATAAGCTGATATTTTTAAATAGTCAAAGCCTAAAGTTTTACACCAGAAAACATATTTAAATCTGCGAATTCATTCTATCTTTTAATCGTCAATGTTCTCACTATATAAAAACTAAAGGGCGCTTTAAAATATTTTTATTTGACAATTTTCACATTGAGTATGTTTGTATCCTACGGGTTTTAATTTTATATTGTTCGTGAAATTTATTTCTCACTCACAGGGAAAAAGATTAAAGCGATAATAACATAACTCTAAAATTACAACAAACAAACCCGATCAATAAAAGATGATTTAAATAGAAAGCATTTCCTTTACAAGTTGAAAGAAATTACCTGAACATTGTAATTACTGAAATGACGGATAATATGTTCTTTAGCGCACCTACATCACTATGTAATTGTCATGATAAATGGATGGCTTGTTATCAAAGAAAGCACAAATTTGTCAATTGCTGTCCAAATTTGTCATTTTTATACAGAACGACAAAGGGTATAATTAACAGTATAATTTTAGTCGCAAAGAAAAAAAAAAACACGTTTAAAACTGTTTGGTGTGAATTTTCTCATTTTTCTTTGTATTTAAAGACGTCATCTAGAATGTTGTTAAAGTGTTGAAAAATTAGTAAACAGATAAAAGAATAAAAAACCATGACAATGGGTCTGTATTCTGTTTCCATGTGATTAGTCATCATAAAAATGGGTGACCTTGTAGATTTCAAATTCTACAGTTGTAATGTATTTTTTGCAGTATCAAATTTATATATAAGATTTGTATCATTGTTGTTAGAAATAACATGAATACTTTAGGTGACTAACTTAATGAGGCATCTTTGTAGTAGTATCAGCTGAGAGTATCAGACGAAACCTGAACAACAAATATGATGTTTTCCCTTGAATTGCACACAAATGAAAAACACAAAGATATTCATTAAAATAAACAGCCACTTTTTTTCGCAATAAGCCCCTCCCCCCAAAAAAAATAAATAAAAAAACAACAACAAAACAAAACAAAACAAACAAAATTAAATTAGCACCGAAACAAACACAAAAACTTAAAAACGTAACAAAAAGTATTAAATTTGATGACATATTTTTACAGATGGAATATTTTCGTTGCATATTTCTCAATTAAAGATAGGAGGTAGGTCACTGTACATTATAAAACTGGTAGTCAGTATATGAGCCTCCAAAAACCCCACAATGTCTGAAGTTATAAATTTTACATGCATTCTGCAAATTTGGTGACATAAGAACATGTTAGTAATCTGGATACTACATGAGGGTATGAATGGGGTTTACAGAATAAAGAATAATGGACAAAAAACGGCAGAAAATAATGAAGAATAGAGAAAACAGGCAAAACAATAAAGAATAAAGAGAAACCGGGTGTTTAATCATTAGGAATACAGAATAATGAGAAAATAAATAAAGAATAGATAAAGAAAATTAAAGAATAAAAAAAATGAAGGAACCCCATCCAGACCCTCCCTACATGATAGATGATAAAAAAATCACAAAGAGACTGTCCGAAAAGCCAAAAGGGAACAGAAATAACGTTTCTGTATAGACGAGGACTTTAGCAGACTACGGTATGGGTTTTGCGAATTGTTGCACGTTCTGAGACGGTTGATAAGTTTCGCGACATCTTTTAATACTATCTAACTACTAACTGTGAACAACTGCTTATCAATTTCCTTTCAAATGAATTTTACTTTCAAAGAAAAATCCACCAATAGTTTGATGTAACCTGCGTGTATTTATATGGATATCAAGATCCAGGAGTTGGAAAAGAAATGTTTATATTAACATTGCTAATCAAGATTTGTCTTATACAGGAAGTAGCTTTAAATAACAAATGCTGAAATAATCACGACATTGCTGATCGCATCTATCCCATGAACTCGAAATAATGGTGTTGTAAGACTTCATTTCTTGGATTACATCTAGAAATTGACAATGAGAGTCATTTGAGAACTTAACTTTACCACAAAAGGGATGATTTCAACTTTCCCATTGTGATCTTTCTGTTTATCTGCAGCAACATTCCAGCAGCGCTTGCTTGTGCAGTTATATATCTCCCTGTTGATTCGAAATTCAAAGGCTTGTTTTTCCTATCAAGATTTCCTTGAGAAGGATTTCTGCTTACATGGCAGCTATTAACCAAGGATTCCAAATGGTAAAGTTGAAGTTATCCCATCAAAAGCTTAACTGGCAGAATCGTGATTTAGTCGATTGATTGATTAGTTGATTCATTGATGTTTAATAGATATAGGAAGATGTGGTATGAGTGCCAATGAGACAACTCTCCATCCAAGTTACAATTTATAAAAGTAAACCATTATAGGTCAAGGTACGGCCTTCAACACGGAGCATTGGCTCACACCGAACAGCAAGCTATAAAGGACCCCAAAAAATTACTAGTGTAAAACCATTCAAACGGAAAAACCAACGGTCTAATCTATATAAAAACGAGAAACGAGAAACACGTCTGAACTACATAAACAGACGACAACTACTGTAATTAGATTCCTGACTTAGGACAGGTGCAAACATTTGCAGCGGGATTAAACGTTTTAATGGTACCAAACCTTCTCCCTTTAACGCTACTTTCAGCACTATTGTGCTGTTTCGTGGCAGTCAGTTTTTATTGGTGGAGGAAGCCGGAGTGCCCGGAGAGAACCACGACCTGCGGTAGGAAAACTTACAATCCTAGTCAATTAAGATTAAAGTCGAGCGCACCTGCCACGTGCGGGATTCGAACTTACAACCTCATGGTTGACTGGCTAGTAAAACAGCAGTTCGACTACTTTTTTTTGCAGTTCGACTACTTAGACCACACGGCCACCGAGGCACCTGATTTAGTCGACCGTTATGGAGTATCTATGTCGCAGAGAACAACAGATTTGGTCAACTTGTCGTAGGCAAAATTCCGTGGTCTTCTCCTTAATTGTGACATTATCAAATGCCTATTATAACCCAATTTTTTATTGCATTGAGCAACATGACTGGTGACACTAGTGGAGTATACAATGCTTATCCATTCGGAGCATCTGAGCTCATCGCTGTTTTTTTGTTGGTGGAGTTTCTGTGTATTTTTTTTTTTTTTGACTATTCATTTTATTTTTTCGCAAGTTTTTGGTAAAGTTAGCTTTCTTCGATTAAATAGTCCTTTATTGCCATTTGGATATTTCTGCTCATATTTGATCTATTATGGCATATTTCGATATTCTGACCGGTGTCAAATATGTTGAAGTACCTGACATGATACAATTTAACAAAAGTCTAAAAGAACTGATATATCAAGGACAATCAGTCACCAAAACAGATGTTATGAGGCAGTCATCTAGAGTACATGTAAATGTCGTATAACTAAGGAATGCAATGAATGTTCATAATATGTGTTCGAATTTGCATATTTAAATACATAACATATCTTTATTGGAAATGTACGTACCGTAATTGCAAAAACAAGGAAAAGTTATTAACTATGCAAAATGATATGTACTAATAGAAATATACCAGAGGCGACACAATTTAATTACTAAAAGGAAGGGCGTTTTCAG